CCACACAGAGTGGTCCCCAAGGGCACTCCATTGTGCCTGTCGTGCCTGTTTCATACATTGTTCTCAGTCTCACGTCTAATACTTTGCACGTCACTCCCCACTGAGCCCCTTGCAGTCATGTGGTGGCAGAAAATTTTTCCGACCAGGCTCAGCAGTGATACTTTATCTTCATTTTCTTCACAGAAGCTCAAAATTTAAAATACCTGACAGGTTTCTTAAGCGATAAATACTTAACATCATTAGCACATGACACCTGTACCCAAGTCTCAGTCAGCCAAGTGGAAGACGGCATCACTAAAGAAAGCAGCAGAAGTTATTGGGGTTTCTCAGAACAATCTGGCACTTAACAGGTAGGTTTTAAAAGATACGCAGGTTAAGCAGTAATAGTAATAAACTCAGCACTTAATGGTTTCCGCACTTTTTTTCTAGTATATCCTCTTTTTCAAACAGTCTAACAAAGACTCCCTGTATGTGGACCAGGCAAAAAGGAGGAGCGTGGCCCACGGGACTCAGCTTCCGCTCTGATCCTCGGGCACGGGCGCCACGGGGACAAGCTGAAAACTGCCCATGCATGCCTGCACTGGGAGTGATGCTCACAGCTTGCTTTTCCTCATGACAGCTCATGTTTCTGCCTCGGGGACAAATATGCTGCAGAGAAGCGCCACGGACCCTCTTTTGGAATTTGAATCCCATGAAGGCTAGGAGATGTTTTAATGAGCTTTTACTGGTATCTCTTCATTTCCTCCAGGATCGAGCATGCCTTTGAGTAAGTGCCTTGGTACCACGGAAATTTGTAACAGTAAGCAAAGGTGAACTGAAGGGTGGGGGTCATCCAGGTAGTTAGTGCCACATTTTCAAGTTCCAGGCCTGGTACCTGCTCTTCACTGTAGATAAATGTGCTGTGTTGGTGGGTGTGAAAGGAAGAGGCAGTTCTAGGTCCCTTGCTTTTATTCCCTCTATCATACCCTGTCCTCACAAAGATGGGCAGGAGCTTCCAAATGCAGGCCAAAAGAACTGTGTTCCAATGAGTCATGTTTAGGCCCAAATGTCTCTTACATGCAGATTAACTGCATTTCTCTTCTAAGAAATGGAAAAGAGTCGTTCTGGGAGGAATTTATTTTTCGGGACAGCTTAGTAAATAGTCTTCTGTACCTGCTTAGAAGTGGAGGCCCAGATGTTTAGAAACCAGGTATGCAGTCCCTACCAGGTACATACGGAGAGGGGACCCCTGAGTGTGGCATAGTTATAACCCAAGAATTCATCAGTTCAAAGAAAACTATGTTCCCCAATTCTCAATTCCTCATCTCCTCTACCATTACTATGTGTACAAAACACTTCTAAATTAACCATGATATTGCAAATGGAATTTGGCTTTTTGTTGAGTTACTATTAGCTATATTTATAAAAAAAAAAATTTTATATATTATCCAAGCCCACTAATCCTTGAGGCCCAGAATTGCCCAAATTATCACTCTTGCTGTTACCCCTTTTTGTGGCTGGGGGAACCTCTATAAAAATGTCTAGCAAGAATCCTGGGCAGTGATAATTTGGTGAACTTTACAGCAAGGTCTGCACAGCATGGCTGTTACTGGTACCAGTGCTCATTATCTTAGAATCACGATCAAAGAGGTTGGAAACAAAGTGTCATAGCAACAAAAGTTTACTTTTTTAATACCAATGATTTTAAACTGTGTCTTATAAAATCAGTATTTTGCCCTTCAGGTTGCAGAACAAAAACTTGATGTGGTCGATAATCACAGCTGGGCTTTGCACTAAGTTTAGATGAACAGGTTAAGTATGGGTACTGTGGCCTAAGGGAACCATTTCCTCTTACCTGGGGAGGAGGTCAGGCAAGGCACAACCATGACCTCAGCAGCCGGGAAGGGTACAAGATTATCCTGGCTTGGGTTCTGTTGACAAACATCATGCTTGTGTAGACTTGGACTGCTGGCCAGCCACTTGTCACTGCCTGTGTGAGAAAGTAGCCAGGGACACTAAAATACAGGAACTTAAAGATCGGCCCCAAGTAATAGATAAGGGAATAGTAGCTACAGGACCAACAGGCCCCTAGAACTTAAAATATTTTTACTGACTGAGCATGTTTAAATGCTTGCTCCTCGATGAACACTGGCACCTAATTTTCCTTTGAAAGAAATTTAGATCTTACCACACCCAGGTTAAAAAAAAAAGTTGACTTACGTTTATGTTTCAAATGAATCCTCCTGATGAAGACAACTTTTTTTTTTTAGGATTCACAGCAACTCTGCTGAGTGACTTAGCCTTTCCAATTCATGCACCTATCCCGGGGCAGACCAAATGATTTCATCATAACAGGTGAGTGGGGGCTACTCCTAATACCAGGTATCTGTATATAATCCTCATTGGAATTGTTTAAAACAAAGGAAATAAGCATTTATTTTGACTAATTCCAGTAAGAATTATTTACCAAAATATTTAGGTTCTTGATGACCTATCTAAAAACTTTAATGTACATGTTATGGACTTTTGGCAGGACTTGAATACTTTAGGCAAAGATGGAGATTAGGATTCTGAGTGGGTACAGTCAAGGCTGGAGATCAGATGAACCAGAAAATATTGAAAAATAAGGAGCAATTTTTGTAGGTGGATGATTACAGTATTATCTTATGGTACTTTTATAATCTTGACTGCAGAGGTTAGTTAGTCTGTGGGTGAGGTGCTGCCTATATTTGGATGGCAAGCCTCACGTGTTATGCACTGTATTTTTTCCCTGCAAATAAGGAAAAATCTAAAACTGACCAGATATGATTTAAAGACGACCGTTATACAGGGTATATCAAAAGGGTTTATGCTAAGTATTCTGGCCAGAAAATCGGTGTTCATGAAAGTCATTGAAGAGGGCATTTAGAGAAGTACATTTCAAATCATGCTATAAAAACCTTGCTGTGCTTTAAGAATACACCAGACAGGGCCAGCCCCATGGTGCACTCAGGAGAGTGCGGCGCTGGTAGCACCGAGGCTGTGGGTTCAGATCCTATATAGGGATGGCCACTGCGCTCACTGGCTGAGCGTGGTGCAGATGGCACCGTGCCGAGGTTTGCGATCCCCTTACCGGTCAGAGGGAAAAAAAAAAATACACCAGTCAGTGCTCAAAATTAATGCTTTCCATCAATGCAACTTTTACTTTTACTGATACATCTGAGGTTCTGGTATATTGAGTAGAAGCTCACTGGACTCAAGGCTCCAGCTCTTCACATCTGGGGATGGGCTGGCAGCTATGGCTGTAATGAGCTGTGTCAGTAGATACCGTCAGTCCCAAGTAATCTTTGGGGTATCCTGAACCGGCTCACGTAGGATAACCAACAACTATGTGTAAACAAGGCCATTAGGCTATCTAAAGGAGAAATGACCTAAACAAACAAAGTTAACAACCTCCTCAAGAGCTAAGTGGTGGCACACTTTGCCCAGATCATGCTGTGTGCCAAGGGTAATCAAGGGCAGGAATTGGAGTCTTTTTCTGCTTGATGTCAGCAACAACCTACTGAGCATATGGTAACATTGCCTGGGTGGAGAGTGGGGATAATTGGAGACCTACAGTATATCAGCATTATCATTAAAAACTGTGGAAGAGACTATAAGAGCAACACGTATGAGACAAATTAACTTTAGGATTCAAGTTACTTGTGCATTGATGTGATAGAAACCAGAGAAAATCTTGTAAATGTGGAATAGGAAAGCAAGGTAAGATAGTTTTAATTGAGTTTCATATTAATAATGTTGAAGGGAAACCTGCAGTCCCATGAGTATCACGGCTCTGTTTACAATAGCCAAGCCTTAGAACCGACCTAAATGTCCATCAACAGACAACTGGATAAGGAAATGTAGTTTGTATACACAATGGAATATTTCCCTGCCATAAAAAAGAATGAAATTCTACCATTTGCAGCAACATGGATGAACTTAAAATAAGCCAGGCACAGAAAGAGAAATACCACATATCTTCATTCATAAGTGGGAGTAAAAAAATCACAATTATTCATTGAACTCTGAAAAGGGGAGAACAGAACTGAGGCGAGAAAGGGGTTAGTGAGGAATTGGTAGAATGCTGCAAAAAGATTGCATTGTGTAAGGCTGAATATACTAATTATCGTGATTTGAGCATCTCATGTTGCACACAGGTACTGATATTCAATGCTGTACCCCACAGATATGAACAGTCAATTATGTTTCAATTTAAAAAATTAAGTTTCATATCAAATATTATCACATTATAAATAATAGATTTTATCTAACTCTGTAGAATAGGCAACTACCGAGTAACTACATACTGTGGACTGATTGATAGCTGTTGTGAGGGACAATGTTAGTAATGTGTCTCAGGAGTGTGCTGGAAAGTTATCACTGCTACTTTGAGACACACTGCACGTTGTCAGAAAGAGTACAAGGTACAAGCAATCCGTTTCCTTGATGCTTTAGAGGGTTTTTTATTTTTTACCCCTCTTCAAGAAGAAATAAAACTAGAGTTTGGGATTCCTTACCTACCTACCTACCTACAAAAGGTGAGAGGTACAACCAATTACACTGTTGTATTTCTGAAGAACTAGATCTAAACTAGTGGAATTTAGAACTTAAGATAGGTTCTAGTCCAACTCTGTCATTTTATATATGGAGAACAAAGACGTGAAGGTTATTTTCTCCAGGTTACACAGCTGACTGGAACATGCCCACGCTGGTCTCCTGTCTGCAAGATCAAGCCCTTTTACTCAAGCCCCCAAGATGCATGGTAGTAATATTATTCACTTACAGATGTTTTCTACATGTTAATAGACAATATTAATTATAATTCAGTCAATTATATTAGTATATGTAATTAGGCAAATAAATAATACTGTTAATCCTAAGATTCATACAAAGACAACTGAAAAACGAAAGGAGTTAAATTTGAGAATTTGTTTTCCCGTTAGAGACACAGTCCTTTTTCTAAAATCAGTTGATGAAGCTTTAGGATAGATGACTCAACAAGAAGTTCAAGTATTCTTTATTCAAAGTTAAAAATGTACCATACTGCATTATTGCAAAACTTCACTGGTACAAAACACTTTGCAGCTGGTGAGAAGGCAATAAAAAGTTGATTTTAAAACTCATTACTATAAATTATTCTTACAGTACTTTGCAAACTCAGAATTTCAAACTGCATTTTGTTTCTAAATTGCCCACAGTACTCGAGGTTCCTGAAGCTAAGGCAGCTGTTTCAGAGAAGGGGGAGGAGGAGGTAGCAGGTGTCAGGGGATTTCCATTTCTCTTTCAATGCCCACATACTTCAGGGCATCAGCCTGGCTGTATCTGAAACAACAGGAAAAAGGAATGACCACCTAGCCAACATGTGCTGCAATTTAATACAACCAGGCCTGCTGAATTTAGTGGGTACGTCAAAATGTCTTAAAAAAAAAAAAAAAAAACCATGCACACACATACACATCTGTGTCACTGGTAATCTTCTGGTTGAGAAGTTGCCAAATTCTGAACCAGACAAACCTGTTACTACACACCTGCCCAGCTTTCCTCTATGCCTCTGAAGCAAACTGCCCCCAGGACGCAGGGCTAGGTCGTGATGTTTAGGCCTAATGCTGGGAGGGCAGAATAAAAAGAACCGTGTTCTGGAAAGAACAAATGACTAGAGCCCCCAGTAGTAACTAGGGCCAAAGAGTAGCCCCAGATAGTTGCCCCCAGGTGGTGAAAGAACTGGGGTGCAGCCTCCGACCATCCCCAAGGAAGCAGGGCACACTGCCTCCCAACCCAGGCCCACCTGCTGCTCCTCATGCACAGCAAGCTTGGAATGAAGAGCTCAGGGTGACCTTCCAAAGTGGGACCTTTACTCAGATCCCATCTGCTTAGATCTCTCCTGGAACTGTGCAGCAGTTTACCATTAAAAGTAGGTACATGTGGGCCCTAGTTTGCAACAACTCAGTACTCAAAAACGGCATGTATATTCAGCCACAGGATTTCTTTAACTAGACAGTTACGTGATTGCATTTAAATGAGTATTAAATGTATAACTTGTCAAATTCATCCCACAGAGCTTGACAGTATAAACTGCCAGCCCAGTGCCTAAACACTGCTAGTGGCCCATGTGTCCCCAGCATCCCAACAGCTTTTTCCCCAGAAAGAACCCACAGGGTGACCAGGTGGGTATTTGCCAACAGTACCTGACTTGTAAAATCCTAAATAATGATGTGTGCACCCTAGCAATAAAAATAAAGTGGATCTAAATGTACTACTGTCACTAAAGATATAGTGTACTGTCAAGTAAAAAGCATGTAGCAGAACAGTCTATATAAGTGTGATCACATTTACTTTAGAAAGTGCAACACAAACACACATGCAGCATGATGTGGAAAGGTCCAGGAGTCAACACCCAACTGTCAACAGGTTGAGGAAAGGGACTTTTGGTATGGGTTTTATTATATTTTTTAAGAGCCATACTTGTAGAATCTAACTCTCCCTACCAACGTCCATGGCAAACAATCAAAAGAACTGCCCCTCCAATGATGGCAGATCTAGAACTGAAAAATAGCCTTTGTCCAAAGCTCACAGCCCAGGTGGAAAAAGCCCATATATCACACTAGAAGTGTACTTTTTACCAACCTGTAATCAAAAAACAGCTCTTCCCCAGTCTGGATGGCTCTCTTAGCAAAAATACCTATCCTGTGATCGCCGTTAACCATCATAACTGGAAAGAGACACAGTGATGTTAGTGACCAGTTAGCATAAAGACAGGCCACAGGGTGGTTAACTGACTTGTTCACATCCAGAAATACTTTGGTCCATTATCCCTAGATTGAAAAGGGACTTCCGGTTTAAATCTACAGTAATTCTGACTTTATAAGCACCTACCTTTTGCATAGCAATTTGGATTTACTGAATGATTTGCAAAACGAATTTTGTTGCCCTTGCGGGTTGCATCCACAACAAAATCTAAAAAGAAAAAATAGTACAATCCAGTGAATTTCACTTATAAATTAATAAAAACAAAGTTATTATGATTCTGGAAATACAGCTGGTTATAGATTTTCAGGGTTTGCCTTCAAAAACAAATCATACGACCAACTTCATTCAGTAAGAAATGACATTTGAAAAAAATACTGTTCTTAGGTTAAAATTAATCATTGGTAATCCAAGATGGTTATCTGTCTCAAATACTATTACTTGGCCAAGGAATGGAATCTGACTAAATTCTTCCCAACATCAAGAACGTGACATTTTCACAGGATCCCATCAGGGACACTCACTACAGTCTTAGCCTCTACCCAAGATCAGCAGCTGTGAAAGAAGGTGCCTTTATTCCCACGGTCTGGGGATAACAGCCAGGGCAAGTTTGGAAGATGCTTTCAAATGGAGTGTGCCTTGTCCTTCCCAGGCCAGAGGCACTGACTGGAAGAGGTGTGCCCAGCTCACAGAACCCAAGTTCTTAGGAACACAAGAGGTGAGCAACAGCAGAAGAAAACAAGAAGAATGTCCCCTCATAGCCAGCCTGACGTCGCCATCTGCAGATGGCTGGGACGCCACAGAAATCACTTCCCGCGCACACAGTCCATCTGCTCTCTGAGGAATTCCTCTGCTCCAGGTCTTTCAAGAAAGCCCATCCCTACACCAATGCCAGGGGATGAGAAATCCCAGGAGTTCTTCCTGTGGAGGTCCGCCTTCCGGCACCTCACTGACCTCTAACTTCATTTCCAAATACTCAGCCAGTAGAAGGCTCCCAAATGCAACTCAGAGGAACTAAATGCCCTCCAGCTCAGAAACATACCATTGTTCAAGTTGAACAGAAAGCTGCACATGTATTTATCATACACTTTCCCTCTTCTGTCAGCTTCATCTTGAGAAATAATCTAAAAAGACACAGGAAGAAGTAGTTTTGGATTAGGTGATCAAGCTGGGTAGAACACACAACTCATCAAGAGAATTTTGGACCTTCTTGAAAATAGTCAACAAAGGGTCACTACATCCAATTTCACTTTTCCATTCAGCCAGCGCATTGCTACCTCAAAGAACAATGATACTTTAAGGACTCCAGCTCAGAAATATTTCCACATCCCAGGTAAGTATGCTTGGAGAAAGTGATTTAAAAAGTCTTTTCACTGAGTAAAAAACAGAGAGGGTGGGTTGATTCCAAACTGAAGCTAGCCCTACAATTTTTCTCTAACCCTGCAACTAAAAAGGCAGATAATTAATGACACTGTGGTATCTAGTTCCTTATCAACTGGGTTGCAGATTAAGCAGGACAGACTAGTTAGTTAGTAAAAGCTGATGTTCTTCCCGTTGTCTCCAGATGGTAAAAGCTAAATGTGACTAAACCAAAGCAATCCAATTACTAAGCAAACCAAATCCACAAGTATGAATAAGTCTGAGCTAAAAAGGCATTTTATAGTAACTCATTTCTAATCAGTCCCAACTGACTTGTGCAATGAAATCCATCCATAACAAAGAAAAGTTATTACATACAGTGCCCCCTGAATACATGTGATTAGTGTGCCTTACCTCTCCACAGTATTCCGAGATGAATTCATTTTTCTGTACAGGATCTTTGATAAAAATCCCCCAGCCTGCCACATCAGATGGTGCCAGCAGTAAATGCTAGAGAATAAAGCACAATCATATACAGAATGAAAAGTTATCACTAAATCCTCAGACCCATTCTAAAGCAATAATTCAACACACAGGTAGCTTCAGTCAGTATGAAAGCTGCTGGATACAGCCAGCAAACTACAAAAACAATGTGTTTTGTTTTGTCTTTAAATAAAATAGAAGACAAGTATCCTCTCTCTTACAGAAAAAAAAAAAAACTTCTGTGGTGTTGGTCCCTTCCACTCACCATCACTGAAGATGCACTTTATTTGCCCATTTCTTTAGTCCTTGAGTAACTCACTTTCAACTTGAATTTAATGTAAGGATGTCCCATCGCTCTCCCCCTTCATATATTTCCCTCTACTTCCCCAAACGGATTTCTGTTACCAGCTCTCCATTTTCAGTTCGAGCCCTCCAGGACATTGTCCTGGTTCCTCACTGGCTTTTATTCCTTCCACAGCCCTGCCATTCCTCCATGACAGCTTTCGTGAGGATCCATCCAGCCACAGCACTTGCTCATGTCCAGCACTCTAGTTTGAGCAGAGATGCCAAGATGATGACAGCTGTCAATTATACGTTGAGGGATTCATTCCCAAACATACTCTAACTTTTCATCAAGGCTCATTATTATGCTTTCATTTAGAATTTTCTTATGATCTTTAAAAAGGAAGCTTTCAGTCTACTCCTGTTCTGGCCCATCCTACACTCGTCTGTCAGGTGAATTTCCCACATACCTTTCTAATCAGAAACTAACTAAATACAAGGAATCTTCAAAAAGTTCATGGAAGGATTCATATTATGTTTTAATTTTTCCATGTTTTAAAGTGCCTTTGTATTGTTAAGCAAATGAAATCCAGTTGGTAAAAAGTACCTACATAGTTTTCTGTTTTAAGAGTTAAAAGATGTCTACAAAGAGGATGTGTCAATGTGAATTGTACGGTAGTCCCCCACTTATTCACAAGGGATATGTTCCAGGGCCCCCAGTGGATACCTGAAACTGCAGATAGCAGCAAACCCTATATATACTAAGTGAGTAACAGGCAGGTAGCATTGACAGTGTAGATATGCTAAACAAAGGGATGATTCACATCCCAGATGGGACAGCTCAAAATTTCATCTTGCTTCTCAGAACAGCGCACAATTTAGAACTTATGAACTGTTCATTTCTGGAATTTTTCATTTAATATTTTAGGACTGCAATTGACTGAAGGTAACTAAAACTATAGAAAGGGAAACCGTAGCTAAGGGGGGGATCAATGTATTACCTACCTTCTGAACAAACTGAGGGTGGAATATATCATATAATGGTAAGTATGGGTTGGGAGGGTAGAGATTTTTAGGTTTGAACAGATGTGCCATGGGAAATTGAACCAGCATTGTTGTGAACCAAGGAACCTAATGGATATACAGACACCTAAACAGTCTAAATGCCTTAAAAAAAATCATGGCCGAAAACAACCCTGCATGGTGATCAAGATGATCAGATCTGCCATAAACACACTCTGGTTCAAAGACACAAGTAATCCCCATCAAACTATCAATGATATAATTCACAGAAATAGAAAAAACAATTCAAAGATGTATACGGAACAACAAGAGGGCCCAAATAACCAAAGCAGTCCTAAACAAAAAGAACAAAATGGAGGGTATCATACTCCCCTGACTTCAAAATATACAACAAAGTGAAAGTAATCAAAACAGCATGCTACTGGCACAAAAACAGACACCTAGACCAACTGAACAGAATTCAGAAGTAAATCCACATACCTATGGCCAACTGATATTTGACAAAGGAACTAAGAACATACATTGATGAAAGGACAGCCTTTCCAATAAATTGTGCTGGGAAAACTGGAGATCCATATGCAGAAGAATGAAACTAGACTACTATCTTTTACCATATACCCAAATCAACTCAAAATGGATTAAAGAATTAAATGTAAGACCTGAAACTATAAAACTTCTAGAAGAAAACATAGGGGAGACACTTCAGTATATAGGTCTGGGCAAAGACTTTATGAGTAATACCTTATGAAACACAGAGGACAAAAGCAAAAATTAACAAATGGGGTTATATCAAACTAAAAATCTTCTGCACAGGAAACAATCAACAGAGCAAAAGGACAACCTGCAAAATTGGGAGAAAATATTTGCAAATTATACATCTGACAAGGGATTAATATCCAGAATATACAAAGAACTCAATTCAATAGTAAAAATAATAATCCAAGTAAAAAATGGAGAAAGGAACTGAAGACTTTTTTTAAAAGACATACAAATGGCCAACAAGCATATGAAAAAATGTTCAAAATCGCTAATTATTAGAGAACTACAAATTGAAACCACAATGAGATATCATCTCACCCCAGTTAGAATGGCTTATTATCAAAAAAAAATAACAAATGCTAGAGGGGTTGTGGAAAAAGGGAAAGAAACTCTTATATGTCGTTAGTGGTTGTATTAATTTACATTTCCACTATGGAAAACAGTATGGAGATTTCTCAAACAACTACACATAAAACTACCATACACTCCAGCAATCCCACTACTAGGTATGTATCCAAAGGAATGGAAATCAATAAGTTGAGGGAACACCTGCACTCCCATGTTTTATCACAGCTCTACTCACAATAGCTAAGAGTTGGAACCAACCTAAACATCCTTCATCGGATGGTTGGGTAATGGAATACTACTAAGCCATAAAAGAATGAAATGCTGCCATTTGCAACAACATGGATGAGCTTGGAAAAGATGTGAAGTAAAATAAGCCAGGCACAGAGAGAGAAATACCGCATGTCCTCACTCATATGTGAGTGAGTTAATCTCATAGAAGCAGAGAGTAGAATAGTATCTAGTGTTCTATAGTAATATAGGGAGACTATGATTAACAACAAAATACTGTGTATCTTTGAATAGATAATCAAGATGATGGTTGAATGGTCCTAACACAAAGAAGTGATAAATGGTTGAGATGATGGATATACTAAGTACCCTGTTATGATCACTGCACACAATATTAATGTACCCAAATACCCTATTGTACTCCATAAACATATACAATTACCACGGTCAATCAAGAAAAGGAAAAATAATAGAATAGTGATTACCAGAGGCAGGGAAAATGAGGGGGAAGAGGGAAAAGGTTGGTAGACTGGCACAGTGTTACAAAGTTACAGTTAGATAGGAAGAATAAGTTTTGATGCCCTAGGGTGGCAATAGCTAATAATATTGTATTGTATATTTCAAGATAGCCAGAAAAGAGGATCTTGAATGTTATAACCATAAAGAAATGATCAATGCTTAGGTGATAGATATGCTAACTATTCTGATTAGATCCTTATACAATATATGCATGTACTGAAACAAATTGTACCCCATAAACATGTACAATGAAAAATATAAAATTTTTTTTAAAGTTGCTATAAAGAAAAGGACTTGAGGGATTACTATTAATTCACCATAACTAAATTCAAATACAAGCAAACAAAACCAAGAGAAGCTGAATGTTTTACCTAGAGCTGAACTTGCCTAGTAGAAGGGGACTACTAACAGTAGTGTCATCTCTATAAGATGATTCAACAACCTACGCCACGTATGTACTAAACACACACAAGCAGAAGAGCAGGTGGATAGTTAATAGCAGGGAGCCAGAATGCCCAGATTTGAGTTCCTGCTTCTTTTCTTCCAGTTCTTGTAACTCTTTTTCCCTACCTGTATATGGGGTTAACAGTTATTCCTAACTTACAGGGTTATGAGGATTAATCAATTAATACACAAAGCACTTAGAACAGTGCATGCTAGATATTAAATGCTTAATAAATGTCAGCTATTATTATTATAAAAATGATTAATTGAAAAAAGAACCCATCATCTACCCTAAAAAAATAAAATACTGAATTTCCCCATTACGTGTTGTTAAAGTTCCTTTTGCTCAATTATTACTTCCTTTTGCTCAATTATTACTTCCTGGCTGCTACACGTAAAATCATCTTCAAGCAGGTCCCAGGTTTCAAATATGTAACTCCTGGCTGGGATGTTTTCAAGGTTGTTAAAGAAATAGGAACTAAGTTTACAAAAACTTGCCATGGGATATTTCATCTTTTACTCTGCAGAGAAAGAAACCTAGAAATATTATTTGATAAGAATGGGTCTCTATATTCTAATAGAAATCACTATTTATTTGCATTAAGGAATTTAGATAAACTTCTAGTTCTATTACCAAGTTTAAGAAATTCAAGTCATATTAATTAACTAAAAAAACAGCTCTTATTCCAAATCTGATACCATCAGTGGCTACTTCTCAGAATTTATTGGTTTATCTTACCACTAGTATAAGGTGTGCAGAAAATGTCAGAGATTGCCCAAAGGTGCATTACCCAAGGAAAATATCAACCATTTTCTCTCTCCTCAGCTGTACCACTCAAGGTCTCTTTAACTATCCTGACATTTACCTAATCTTCCAGGGGTGACTACCTACCTTTTTGGAGCCCCGCTGGATACTACAGTTCTTGCAGGACACATTTTTACTGTCCCAATGGTCAGCAGCTCCACAAGTAAGACAGAGGTCAGGGTCACACTCTCGGACAGCCAGATAGCACGGGCACTGCTTGGTGTTGCACTGAGCTTTGCAGCGGCATCCAGGAAAGCGGTTCTGACCTTTAGAGATAAGTTCATCATCATCATCTCCATCACTATCGCAATCGTAATTATATGCCAAAGCTTGCATAATCGTAAGTAGCAAGTATTGTGCAAGCATCTTACTGACTCAGTTAACCCTCCTGAGCACTTATTATCCCATAGTATAGATGAGGAAATTAAGTAACAGCTAAAGCTGTTAGTACTGACAAAGATCAACACAGAGTTGTTTTTCCGTTATTTATTAAATGGTATATGTAAAGTTCTATGATCTATAAAATAGGTGCAAAGGGAGGGTTTGGACTAAATAATTAATATCTACAGTCCTTCAGCATTCTAATAGCCCATAGTTCTAAACTTAGTATCCAGCTTTATGTGCAGCTTCACGAAACAATTTTAAGAATCCATTAACCTTATGCTACATTCCTTTCTTCTGAAGACTAACAACCTCCTAACTCTGACAATTTCTGGTACCCAGAAATTATTTGGGTAGCTACTTCTAGATTCCCCTTAACTTCTGTGCCAAACTGACTATGACTTAAGTTAAGTGATCAAAGAAGAAGAAAGAGAAAACTCAAGTTCCCGGTAATACAATTTGCCTAACTTGGACACAAGCACAGCGCCAGTTATGGGGCTCGATAAATACTTCCATAGTAAATGTACTTGCTAAAGGAAAAAAGGAAAAACTCTCATGTTTTCATTTAAATTACCATCTCAAATTGCTGACCAAAGACCTATTTAGTTCTCATGCAATTGCATCAAAGCAACAAATACTTACACTCTGAACTACACTGACAAAACTTTTCACAAAAATTCTGTGCTATCACACAAGGGCACGAACTGTCACAAGGCTGCCGTGGATGATCACAGGGTTGATAGTTGTAAACATGGTTAGAGGAGCCGTCTGAATAAAGATAATAGCACACAGGCCAATGAATTTGGGAGATGGGAAATGATCACACACAATCAACAAGAGTACATTCTTCCCTGATGCCTTTGGAACTTAGCTGGGTTTCCTTCATACATTCTGTTTACAAAATGACGACAAAACAACCTCCCACCCGAGTGCTGTGAGCACTGGCACCACATCTCAGCCCCATTCCCAGAGCACTTCTTTAACCAACTCTCAGACTCACTCCATCCATCAACTTCTACTTTACAGAAGAGAAAAGAATGGAGACTCATCAACAGACATCCTCCATTTAAATTGGTTTAATGTACAGAAGTCAATTATATCAGAATAACTCAGACTCTAAATCATTTACTTTTCTAAAACAAATGAGAACAAAGTGGACATTTTTAAGCTAATAACGGAATTGAAAGATGCTAACCCTTTTTCAGTTGTATCTTTCTGCAGTGTGCAGCCCACAACCTGCAAAAACAGAAAGAAAATAAAACACATAACTTCTGCATGAAGCCAGGGAGCACAGTCACAGCTACAAATCCAACCGAGAGCTGCTCAAAGAGATCTATCTGTAATGTTACTATAGCAGTGCTTTAAAGCCAAGTAACTATGAAAGAAGAGTCGTGTACTACCTGGCTTTTAGCTGCCATCAGTTCAGAGCCCTTGAAAAACAGCATAATCATCCAGGCTGCCCAAGGGGTGCTGGGAAGCCCAGCAGTGGCTTTGCTGCCTGCACTTGCCCACGGCTCATGCAGCAGCAGGTGTGTCTACCTGTCGATTTCTTCTGCTGTGGATTATACTGACACAGATACTTCCTCTAATTTCAGGCATCATTAACCATCCAATTGAGCTACGTGATCAGAAGTAATTCAACCACAAATTCAGATGCATTACTTAAAGCCTCAACTCCTGTGGGAAAAACTTCTAAATTTCTATGTTCTGAATTAGGTTGACCCTACATTTATTTTTTAAATGTAGCAAAACATAACATGAGCCTGTGCACAATTTCAGAGGCATCCTCTAAACTGTTCCCTTACCCACCCAACTAGGCTTGGTTTAGAAAAGCGGGGTTGGGGCAGGGGGAGATTAAAGCAGATAGTCTATTCATGATTTTCTGGTTCTACATTTACAAATCAAATCAACCTGAAAACATTCACTACACTTCATCACTCATTCACAAGTCTTAGTGAAAATAACATTCAAATAGGCTTACATGCAGGCTGGCTGGTTAGCTCAGCTGGTTAGAGCGCCACCTTGTAACACTAAGGTCAAGAGTTTGGATCCCTGTACTGGCCAGTAAATAAATTTTTAAAAATACCAGAATGCAATGCCACACACTTAGAAAATTCAGGCTCTTAGAATAAAAGACACTTCTAAAAACAGGCCTAGAGGAACAAATTTTGGAATATTTCATACCAAATGTTAAAGTTATTGTTTATGTAGCCTTTACTAATAGATACATGTTTTTCTTAACCAAAATACACTATGGTAACTGTAATTTTTATAATACTTCACATGCTAAATTTACTGAAGGCTGCTATATTCTTATAGAAAAATACTAGCAATTGCCAGTGGAAACAAGATTCCACTGCTCTGTTTTTAGTGATTTTTTTGTTGTTGTTTTTTAAATAGACCAAGTGGAAACCAACCACGCCCTTAGGAAGTACCTTGCCCCCAGTGTCTGTCTATGTTGACTTCTCTAAGTGACTTTACAGTGGACTTACCGGTGTTTCCTTTTCTTTTTTCTTGGAGGAGTATCAACATCTTCGGCAGGAGCTGGAGCTATGATACTAGATTCTTTGACTCTAAACTCATACACCTGACAAGAGACACAGTAATAGAGCCATGAGGACAATCTTGTGTAAGCAAACCATTCTTATACACATTCAAACCAGAAAAACAACTTTGTCTCATCTGTGACACTGCTAGGTGCTGGGGATACAGTAGAAATCATTGCCCCTGCCCTCACATAGGGGACAGTAGCTGCAATTATATTCTGGTCAAGAGTACTGGTGCTAAGTTTAAATTCTTACCAGCTTTTAAATCCACTGCTACCTAATCTGAAATATCTAAAGTGGGGAAATTCTATAACACAAATAAAGAATAATTTCTATTCAAGTTCCCTCTTGGGGAAAATAAAGAAATTTAATTCTTCTCACAAGATAAACAGCTTAATAATAACCAAGAACTTTGTTATGTTTAGACAATAAGTACATATTTATCCCTATATTCGAAGCTCTTTTAACAATATTTTTATTGGATATGCTTACCTGTCTACATGTTTTGGTCCCAATTAACCTAGCAATGGCACAGAAATTGTCATAATAAGTGCCAATGAGGACTCTAAACATTGAGGCTTCAGCACCGCTCCATTCCACATTCTCAGGAGGTTCAATATTTGGTTTCATCTTTATTGGTGTTTGACAGCGAGAATTTGCTTCTACAAAACCAAATGTAAGTACCAGTCAAGAAATGATGATTGGAAACCGTATTTAATAAAATTCAGGGTGTGCTTAAGAAAAGCTGGAAGTTAATCATATTTTAGAATAAACTAAGGCTAGAAGAACCATTAATAAGATTCTCCCCCATGGCAACCATGACATTGAGATCCCTTTAATATAACCTTCTTTTTTTTTTTTTTTCTTTTTTGTGACCAGTAAGGGGATCGCAACCCTTGGCTTGGTGTCGACTGCACCGCACTCAGCCAGTGAGTGCACTGGCCATCCCTATATAGGATCTGAACCTGCGGCAGGAGCGCTGCTGTGCTCCCAGCGCCACACTCTCCCGAGTGAGCCACGGGGTTGGCCCAAATATAACCTTCTAAAATGAACACAAATGGGGTTAGACTATTATTATTCCTGGTATAATTCACAGGGCTGAAAGGACAACTAAAACCCAATAAGTAAAATACTAGCTCATCAGTAGTTTTCTCTCTAACCAAAATTATTCATAGAAGATCAAGATTATTAAACCAAATGAGCTGACCTTCATTATGCCCCGTATGAGAAACACGGAGAAAGGAAAACAGCACAAAGAGTGAGAACACACCAGACCATCACCCAAAAACCCAGGCTAGGGTGGGGGCAGTGCCAGTTCAGCTGCACATCCTTGAGAGAAATGGTCTTAGATTTGTCATTATACTGAAAACTAACCAATTACAAAAATTATTCAATGAGTCACACATCCTTAATCTTCACAATATGCAACTCTCAAAGAACAGTAATTAGATGTGTCTTACCAGAGGAGCTGGAAGTTTCATCTTTTTTCTCTTCTTCTTCTTTATCATTGTTCTCACCCCCTGTTTCGGTCCCTGCTTCCCTATCACTGTCTGTATCCTTTGACTCCAGCACATTAATGGTTGGAGTGCTGGGTCTACTACTGTTATTGGGAAGCCGTCCTCTTCTGCGCCCTCCTGGGCGCTTTGGTGGGGTCTTTATCCGCTCAGCGGTAAGGGCAGCTGCAAACTCCTTTGCTCCCTCCTACAAAATGAAAAATGTAGACTTTAGGGTAAAGTCCTAAAATTCATTTTAGCGGAAGAGAAAAACAAAAGGATTGCATAAGGCAAGTTAGTCAAGAAATTTATCATAATATCCATATATCACAAATAATCATTTGCATATCTAAATACCCTTTTTTAAAATCTACTTTTAATGGTTTGAAAATGTCGAAGATAAATATGGGTTCTATATATTATATTGCTAGAGTGGCACAAAATCAAGCAAGACAGTCCATATATTGAGTTTGTGAAATATATTAACTGACTATAAGTTAAAATATAAAATATACTTTCTATAATAAATGTAGTTCTCTCTATAGAGAGTCTATTTAAAAGTGAATCTTTACAAAAAGAATCATACCTAATGTGCATTGAGTCAGACTTCCTCTTTCAGGATTTTAAGATAATGCTGCCTTTTTATGATAATATTTCAAGTATACAAGAAAATATAAAACATAAACATGCTTGACTTTGTCACTTCTGTCTTACTATTAAAATATCCAATTTTTTTTTTTCCTGTGAGGGATACATAGCCACAGGAAGACATGAAAGGAACTTCAGGAACAAAACTGTTAAGGGTTACATTTTGCATTACATAGTACAATAATCCAGTCTCACAAAGTATAAAACAATGGTAAGAGCATGGCTTATAGAGAGACCACAGAAACATTTTAGATGAGCCAAATAAAATTCTGCTTTATAAAGAACATTATAAAACAGTACTCAAGAATTCCATTTTTAAGTGGAAATAAGAAGGGAGAAGTTTGAGAGCAGCCAACAGTTTTATACTTCATTCTACAAAAACCAAATTGCTTAAAAATAGGATACCTTCTGCAGGTGCCATTCAATGAATCTTCTGTCCAAAATCCAACAGGCAATATATACCCATTTAGTTCCTAGGTAGGAGTGGCTTGGTTCAAAGAGGGGAAATGGTAAAAATAAGATAGTACCCGTAAAAAACAACTTTTCTACCTCATATTTTCCTAATCCCTTACCTTTTCTCCATCACTTAAAAAAAAAAAAATCTGTGGGATCTATAATATAGCTCAAACTACAACTCATAGAAAGAATATGGCTATGAGAAAGGCTTAGGAACTACAACACGATTATTGAGTTTCTGGCTTCTAAGTAGGCCATCTATGCTACACACACTCATAAACTTTGTGGAAGGTATAAGAGTCCTTGATCCTAAAGACCTTGAAATGTTGCTGAAGAGATAACACAGATAAACAAAGAATAATACAAGATTAACGAAGGACTATAACGTGCAGTACATGACCTATGAAAGAAACAACATGGGTGAGAAAACTGCCTATTATATGGCCAATAAAAGTATGTACAGACAATGTTAATGCTGACTTTATTACCTCCACCAAAGTTCAAAATCAAGGTTTCTCAAATACCCTCTGGGGTAATAAGGCACTAAATCTTACCAAATGCTGGTAACACTGTGGGCCACAAGGTTTGTTGTCTAGAGCTGTTTCTGTGTTCTTCCGCTTATACGTGTTGGGTGTTGCATGAAAAGCTGCAAAATAAATTAAACATAAAGTATCCAAATGCAACTATAAAATATTTACTTTTTCACTCTCCCAGTTCCACTGGAAAAGTCAATTAATAGATTATAATCTTGCTAATATGTGGTTTACATTACTTTATACAACTTCCCTTCACACTCTTACTAACCTATCACAATGTATTCTCCACCTTCCTCCAACCCTTAATGCAGGGAGGAAACACAGTAAATTCTGGAATGATTAATGATTTCTCATTTTTCTCCTTGCAAGTATAACTGATGCACATAAACTATAATTATAAACATTTATTTAAACTAAGTCTTTAATATCTCCATATAAGCAGACGATATTTCCTTTACAATAAAATCAGATTTCCTATTTTTACCAAAAGAATTCTGAAATCTACAATTTCTTGATTTCTAAAGAAAGGTCAACAATCAACTTGTCAAATGAGGAGTAGAATGAGATACCACTTGTTAAAACTTATTTTTAAAGATACAGAGGACAGCCCCAGGTTGCTAACATTCGGTTCCTCTGAATCATCCCCAATTCAAGAACCTAGGGAGAGCTTGGTTCATAGTGCCTTTCTATGGAAAAATACGATTAGATAATACAGGTTTTAGAAAGATAAAGTGACACCAGCACCTTGGGGCTGGCTCGGGGACCCGAGGCAAGGAGAAGTGGAATGGACCTCTCTCCCACAACCAGGCACACCACGCCAGAGCTTCAGGGCCCGCCCAGGGACCCAAGACATGGAGAAGGGGACTGGACCCCCCTCCCACAACCAGGCACACCACGCCAGCACCTTGGGGCCTGCCCAGCAACCCGAGGCAAGGAGAAGTGGAATGGACCTCTCTCCCACAACCAGGCACACCACGCCAGCACCTTGGGGCCTGCCCAGCAACCCGAGGCAAGGAGAAGTGGAATGGACTTCTCTCCCACAACCAGGCACACCGAGCCAGCACCTTGGGTCCTACCCAATGACCCAAGGCATGGAGCCAGGAACCGGACCCTCCTCCCACAACAAAGCACACCATACCAGTACCTCAGGGCCCACCCAGGGACCCGAGGCAAGGAGAAGGGGACTGGCCCTCTCTCCCACAACCAGGGACACGGTGCCAGCACCTCAGGGTCCACCTGGCCCAGAGGCATGCAGAAGGGGACTGGCCCTCTCTCCCACAACGAGGTACACCAAGCCAGTGCCTCAGGTCCCGCCCAGTGACCAGAGGTATAGAGCCAGGGACTGGACCCTCCTCCCACACCAGGCACAAGGCGCCAGCACCTTGGGGCCCGCCCAGAGACCTGGGGCATGGAGAAGGGGAACTCTCCCCACAACCAGGCACACCACGCCAGGGCCTCAGGCCCTGCCCGGGGACCTGAGGCATGGGGAAGGGGACCAAACACACCCCACAACCAGGCATACCACCAGTGCCAATGAGCATGCCAAAAACAGCACCTCCACGTGAATGGCCCACCACAATAACTATGGCTGCTGCAAAAGCGGCTAGACACCACAACCACCACGCAGATGGTCCGCCAGCCACTGGAGTGCATTGACACAAGGAGAGTCACCAGCAGAGACAAAGAGAAGATGATGTCTCTTTCCACAAAACCTATTTTAGAGTGACAGAAGAAGCATCTGCTCTATGATAATATTAGGGGACCCGATCACATCTCTCAGCATTGGACAGATCATCTAGGTAACAAGTTAACAGAGAAACCATTATTCTTTCAGAAGGAGAGAAGAAATCTAGGACAATTAGAGGGGGGTGGGGGAGGAAGTAGGGAAGGGGAGAGACTGGACAAGGGGCATAAAGAATAATTATGATTTGTACCAATATATATGCTAGTAATATTGATTTAATCAACATATCTCAATGTTCAACCCCCAAAATATGTATAATTGATTTTGATTCAATAAATAAATTTAAAAAATTAAAAATAAAGAAAGATAAAGTGTTTGAAATGTAAAATTCCCAATACCATAATAACAGATATGATAGCATATCAAACAAAACAGATATGATAGCATATTGGTATATGAAAGTAGTACAAACTTTTAGAGAATTTCTCATGAAAGCTTGCTTCCTGTGTACAAAAGCAAATGCTGACATGGCTTATTCAGAAATACACAAGATGAAAATTATTTTAATTTGAATAAAAACAAGTGATATATTCACAAATCATTTTAAAAATATTTGTAAAAAGCCATACTTAAACTTAAGTTCCAAAGAACTTAAGGGGAAATAAAGATAGACTGATGAGGGAAGGAAGGAAAAAAAAAGGATAAAATTAAATTATTTTACAGTAGAAATTAAAACCTCAAATTGTTTCAAGTATGTGAGCTAGTTTCTTCCAGAACAAGAGCCTACTACTATAAGAGTAGTGTGGTACTAGATGACATTTTGACAACTTGAGGACCCCTAATATAAAGACAGCATAAAGAAGGTTAAAATCACATGAGCAGGAAGGAATTACACCTATCTAAAACATGAGCTTCATTAGCTAGTTAGCAGCACATATTCAGCTATACTTTTTCAGTAAAATTTGTTTTTGTTTGGATGCCTCCTCTAGCATATACTGTATTTATTTATTTATTTATTTACTTTTTTCTTTCTTTCTTTTTTTTTTTTTTTTTTTTAAAGATGACCGGTAAGGGGATCTTAACCCTTGACTTGGTGTTGTCAGCACCACGCTCACCCAGTGAGCTAACTGGCCATCCCTATATGGAATCCAAACCGGGGGCCTTGGTGTTATCAGCACCACACTCTACCGAGTGAGCCACGGGCCGGCCCAAGCATATACTGTATTTATAGACTGATCTTGTCCCCATTCAGTGAAAACACACAGGAACAGACGTATGTATCTGTACACACACAAGCATGCACATATGCACAAATGAGGAAAGCAGTCCCTGCTGGTCCTGAACTAGAAGATGGCTCTTAGTCAGAACTAGAAGACAGATACTCACTTTAAGCCACAATTATAGTCTAAGAAAAGAACAAATCAGGCTATAAAGCAAAAACTAACATACTAATAGTAAAAAGCTACTTTAAAAAATTAAAGTGTCATTCTTAATTTCACATTGCGTTTAGCTAAAACTAGAAAAACTATTCTTATGACTAGATTTTCCTCAGCGGAATGTCAAACTTCAATTCTTTGGGAAAACCACTTATATAAAGAATTTCCCCTTCCAGAAATATCTTGACTATTTTACATTTCCAGAAGATTGAACATAATTCTTTCAAACAGGCATCTTAGTATTCAAACTAAGTTATTAAAATGTATTTCAAACTAAATATGTGGGGAAAAGATTATATAACAAAATTCCCCGATCAGAAAAATTATTAGAAGGGAAATTAAGGCAAGATGCTTTTTAAATTTTGCAAAAATGGAGAGAACATGGATACTGAGGGCCTTTTATTTTTAATTTCAAAAGAAACCAATAAAATTTTGATGAGAAATCTTATTTAAACGTTTACAAGCAAAGGTAAAAGACTTATAATACATAATTCCAGCTGTTCTCTATGCCTGTATATGAGATTACATTGGCAGCTCTAAAAAATGGCTGAAAAGTAGTGAGTAGCCCCTTAGCATCTTGTAACGTTCACCAAATAAATTTCACCTCAAATACAGAACTGTGGAATCAGAATTATAGAGTGGGAACAAACCTTAGCAATCACCTATTACAATTAGGAAAGAGAGGAACAAAGAGAATAATTTGCCCATGTGTTTCTCATTCAGTACTCTGTTCATAACATGAAGAAAATAACTTCGTACCTCTCTAATCAGTACTTGTAACCACTACTGGTGGCATACATCACTTAAACACTTCAGCTTGTCATGTGATAAATGATCACAGATCAGTAGAAAATTTCAGGTTTTTTTACATTAACTTCTGCTTAAAGTACTGATCTTCTCTGCTCTGATTAGACTTGGTGTTAAGAATAAATTCTTGCTGAATATACTTAGAATTATATAAATTCTTTTGTATTTATCACTGATGTAAGACTTTTATAAAGAGTACCTCACAAAATAAGCAATGTCAATATTAGAGCATAGGATATTAATAACAGCAAGAGTAGTGACAACAGCTAACAATAAATACTCCTATGTTTAAAGCACATGCTAAGAGGCATATAGGCAATATCTCGTTTAATCCTTACAAAAATCTACCAGGTATTAGATTCATCTTCCCCATCTTATACATGAGGAAAACAGGTTTAGAGGGGGTTAAGTCAATCCGTTAATTACATGGCAAATATGAACTCAAGTATGTCTGAACTTATCACACCATTACATATTTTAAAATGTTAATCATCAATTATAAACTTCGGAATAACCTGTTTGAAACTCCAACCATTTACTACACTAAAATTTCTACAATCAACATCAATACACATTGCAGAATATTCAGAACAGATGTTCACATAATATCGAAAAGGACAAACTGACACAATTGGGTTTCATACTTAAAATGGACTCCTCTGTAGGACATTCTGATAATAGCATATCAAAACATTTTTTCCATTAAAAGCTCTATCTTTGCACAGTGTTATAATACCAAGGTCAAGGGTTTGGATCCCCATACCGGCCAGCCACCAAAAAAAAAAAAAGTTCTACTTTTGGTCCTGTTTAACTACATACGGGCAACACAAGCTTACTTTCCCACGCTTCATTTTCTTCAGGCTTCCCTCCTCGATTAGTTCCTATTAGAAATGTTGTGTTACCGGGCCGAGCCCGTGGCGCACTGGGGAGAGTGCGGCGCTGGGAGTGCTGCAGCGCTCCCACCGCAGGTTCGGATCCTATATAGGGATGACCGGTGCGCTCACTGGCTGTGCGGCCGGTCTCAAAAAGGACAAAAAAAAAAAGAAATGTTGTGTTACCCCTTTATACACAAAGTCAATTCAGTAGCTAGCACTGCTTCCTCTGCGCTAGGTTCGCAGGTTCGGACCCTATATAGGGATGACCAGTGCACTCACAGCGCTCACTGGCTGTGCGGCCAGTCTCAAAAAGGACAAAAAAAAAAAAGAAATGTTGTGTTACCCCTTTATACACAAAGTCAATTCAGTAGCTAGCACTGCTTCCTCTAACATATGGTTCCAAAGACAGACCAGACAATTTTAGGCTGAAGCTTTGATAAAAAATTGCCATGATTCCAAGTTTGCAGAACAACCAGCCTCCAATTCACAAAATGGATCGTAGTCTAAAAGTTGTCTGGAATAGAAGTGTGATTAGATATTCCCTGACCAAAACCATTGATCCTTCAAGGTTCATTAGAACATTTGAGCACCTCTAATAGAAAAGTTCCATTGTCTGGGATAATAGGCTTCTGGCCTAGATGAATTACCTATCCCCTACTATCAAAACATCATCCTTGAATAAAAAAAGACACCCCTAACATCTAAATAATAAGGCCTAACATTAGTAAGGCTACCAACACAGAAATAATAAAAATAGTATCCAAAAGGGCCCTTTCACCAGGAAATTTAGAAATTCTCCCTTAAACAGTGAGATAAAGAGAAAATATAAAAAATTCTGGAATTCCTTAAAATAGTAAAAATACCAAATACAAGACCTAAGAGAGAAGTTGGAATAGTGCTCTAGAGACACATCCTTGTATATCCCCCCAAAAATAAAGCATGAAAACAACGTAAACATTAGACTCAAACAGAAAAAATAATAAAACTGTTTAATAATACTAAAACATAGTAGTTGGTTCTCTGATCAAAAAAGGTGAATGAAATACATAAGAAACAAGAAAAAAACCCACAGAAATTAAAGGAATCATTAAACAACATGTAGATCAACAAATAAATTTCAAAACCTGGATGTAAAGGATAATTTTCCAAAATTCACCTAGAGAAGACAGAAAATTTGTCTCTATCTACTAACACCACTAATTTTTAACACTACTGAAGATTCAAACTAAAGCATTTAGAAAAGAGAAATCTGGGCCAAGCCCGTGGCGCACTTGGGAGAGTGCAGCGCTGGGGGGTGCAGCGACACTCCCGCCTCGGGTTCGAATCCTATATAGGAATGGCCGGTGCACTCACTGGCTGAGCACGGTGTGGGCAACACCACACCAAGGGTTGCGATCCCCTTACCGGTCCCCCCCCAAAAAAAAAAAAAAAGAAAAGAGAAATCCAAGTTGGAAAGAAAACAAAACCATCAATAGCTACAGATAGTATAATTACATAGCTAGAAAACTCAAAAGAATCTGCTGAGAAACTATTGTAAACATGAAGACAATTCAGTCAGGTAGCAGGGCACAAAATATATAAGACATAATGGTGAAAAGCCCAACAATAACAACAAATTTAATACACAGAAATAATCTTTAAAAATATACAAGAGCTACATGAAGAAAACTTGAGAGGTTACTGAGGACACAAAAAGAGACTTGACCATATCATTAGTTAGACTTAACACCTGTATTTAAAGTCAATTTTCTCTTAGGTAATTTATAAATTTAATGGGATTCCAATAAACGTACCACTAATTTGTTTGATTTTCTTAAACTAGACAAACTGATTCTAAAATTTATATAGAAAAACAAGAATAGCTAGATCTCTGAATAAAGCCTCATGGACAGACAGTTCAAAGGCAGAACCAAATACACATGGTAATAGGCAATGAAGGAAGTAGTTCAAAGCAGTGAAAGATGAACTTTTCGATAAATGGTACTGAAACAACTAGGTATCTTTGGAGGTGAAGAGAAATTTGGTCCATAGTTCACATCAGAATAAATTCCAAATGTATCACAGATTTACTGAATAAGTTAAAAAAAAAAGAAGCCTAAAACAGACCAGGAAAAAAAGTGAGAAACCCTTCATAATCTTGGAGTAGGGAAAGCCAATTGATAAATTCAACTATTTTTAACATTTTTTAAAACTTTGCTTATGGTACTTTTACCAAACAACCTGGAGAAAAACTGCAACTCATATCTCAAAAAAAATAATTTTGTGACCATATAAAGAGTTCCTGAATATAATAAAGACCAATGAGCCAAAGAATAAAAATAGTTCACAGAAAATAAAATACAAATCTCTTCTACATATAGGAAGATCCTCACCCTTACTCGAAGAAAAGAGCAAATTAAAACTCCACCAAAAACCATTTTTCACTTATAAAACCAATTTAAAAAATCAAATTTGGTTTGATGACACTCTATTGGCAGGGCTCTGGGGAACCAGGCACTCTTACTTATAGGCCTTTAAATTGGTGTGTCCTCATATGAAGGTCACTTGGCAATATCTAAATAGAGTTTATCAAGTAAACTTGAACCTGTGGGGGAAAAAAGCCTGAACACTATGGCATCATTTTATTTACCATACTTACATTTCATTATAAACATTTTACACTTTACTTGTATGCAAATGCAGATATTTTAAAAAGCAACTTACCCAGAGCAAAAAAAAAGATTTAACACTAAATAGAAAAAAAACTTATAGAAACGTCTTTTTAGTCAATTTCTTATTCAACAGAATTTGTTCATCAATATCAGCAATGTTGCTCTGGGCTATCATCTAGTTCATAATAATAGTTTTACTATAAAACAATCCCTTTGTTAGCATTTATGGAAAAAGCACTGACCTATATTCCAAATTAGTGGGAAACAGTAATCCAAATTAAATGCATGCAAAAGATTTCAGAGCAATCCTTACACAACAAAGTAAAAATAACAATACTGGGATTTTAAGATATCTTCCAATTTTAACTACAAGATTAAATGATAAATACTAGTTGTAATAAATGACAGCACATTCCAAGCTGCTTTAAGACATAATTCCACAACAAAGATAGAAAATGAAAACGTACAATAATTGCACTTACGATGTAGGAAGCAGTCATATTTAAAACATCGCCTACAGAAAAGCGTATGAAATGAATGCAAGCTTTGCTCCCTCTGAACAGATTTAGCATTTGGTCCATCTATGTTGGGGGTACATTCAGGAGGAAGTGCGCCTGGGAGCTGCTGCTCAGTGAGTTCTTTATATCTGACATTAACCAAGAAAAAAATATATGTAAACATGAAACAAAAATCACTTTTCTGAACATAAAGTTTCTCAAAGGTTTCCATGTATTACATTTGCTTTTATCTTGCCTAAAACATACTCTTTTTATCTAATAAAGATTGTTGTAGGTTAGGTCTTTTCCTTTGTGTTTAAGGCAAGATAAAACACAAAGGAAAAGACCTAACCTACAACAATCTTTATTTAGATAAAGAACGTATTAAATATGGTATATGATATATCAAGAATAAAATTCATTGATATGACTCAGATATATAAGTGAAAAGGATATTATTATACTAGTTTTAATTAAACATCAACTGGACTAAAAATTCTACCAGTATCCAAAGAAATCTTCCAAAGTGTACTATGTAAATTATGTGTGTGTATAAATGTACTTATATATTTATTCTATCTACAATATAAATGTTTTGTAGTGCAGAGTACCATATATATATATATATATTGCTTCAAGTACCTTGCAAACGCTGTAAACAAATAAGCAGAGTGGCTTATCAGCTACATTAGGTTCCATTTGTAATAAACCAAAATGGTGAGCTACATACCACATAAGGCAAGATTGCCTCAAAAGAACAAATCTTACTTTTCCTTTAGTTCTTCTGCTGTGCCTTTATCTGGAAACATTGAGGAAATGGCTTCGAAAATTTTGTCAGAAGGAAATTTCCGAGGTGGGCGGCTTTCTTTATCTAAACAAGAAAAGATGAGAGGAAAGAAAGAGTGGAAGTAAACAAGTTTTCAATCTTTCATTTTCTACACACAACTACATAACAAAGCTGATTTTCTAAGAAATCATCAACTTTGTGTTTCAGTGACTTCTAACATATTTTTCTTGTCTGTGGAATGCTTGTAGGTCAAACGCAAAATTCAAACTCAAACATAAGAAGTTTTAAGAGGACTGGGAAACCGAAAACCTAGTTCTAAACCTGGGTATTGTGACTGGGGCTGATCACTTGATTATCTGAGTCTGTTTCCTTCTCTGTAAAATAAAGAAGCTGAATTAGGTGATCACTAAAGCGCCTATTCATTTAAAAAAAAAAATTACAGTTCTCTGAAATGGCAGTTTTCCCCCCAAGTTCTTCTATGCTGCCTGAATATGAGCTATCTCAGGACCAACTATTTTTCTGGTAAGCCATAACTACTGTAAGAAGTCAGTTAGACCTGGGTGATCATAGGGTTCTGGGTTCTGTTACTTTCCAATAGAGTCATCTCATATAAGTTACTTAGTCTCTCTAAATCTATCCTCTCAAATATAAAATGGATCTGATAATAATATCAGTTTTGCTGAGCTGTTATAAAGATTAAGATAGCTGGTGCATATGAAGTAATTAGCACACAGTCTGAACACAGTGAATGATCGATATGTTATGTATTATAATAATTATAATGATTGCCCAGTGAAAAGCCCCCCAAGAAGATGATGTTCTTTCGCTAGCCAAAGGAAAAAGATACTCAAGTGGAGGAGGAAATGTTGCAAATACCACTCTAATTTTGATCATGCCACTATCGATGTGATTTTTAACAAACAAACAAAAAAAAAAGAAGGAACTAAGTTCTACTTTTACTCTATGGTTTTTAAAAGAATGCTATAATGGCTACACAAAAACCTAAAATCAGACATATCAGACATACCATCTCGGTGATCCTCCATATCTTTCTGTTTTTCTTCTCTTTCATCAGGATCATCTCCGTCGTCATCATCGTCATCATCGTTGTATTGACCAAGAGCATTCACCAACTCCACAAAGATTTCATCATTTATAAACCCACATTCTGAAATTCAGCAAGTTGAAAGTTATAAATACACAGGGGAAAGTAGTAATGACAAAAGTTTATGCAGGCTTTTTGTATTAACACTCTAACATTATTATTAAAATGAGGGGGGAGATAAGATCATTTTCAGGACTTGCCTTCAGCAAAGTTAGGAAGCAGAACTTATCTTCAGTACCTGTCACATTCTCTTGAATCACTCCCTCCCCTAAAGGTTCCAGTGCACAGTACTAACCTAATCCTCTGGGATCTAATTGTGGCTTTAGCCTCCTCCCAAACAATGCATCTGTCCTTTACCTGCTCACTTCAGACCCTGCTTTCCACTAATGATGATATTACAAATATTACCCTCCTTTCAGACACTTTAACAGGGCCTCCTGGACACAAAAACTATAGCCGGATTCTAATGATCAAGTTTCAGGTACCGGAGAAGCTAATAGGGAAAGTATTTTTGAGCAGTCAGGCCTTTTAGAGCCACATAAGCAGAGCCTCAATCCTAATTATTTTTACTACTAAAGAATCTTAAAATCTACATACACTCAAACATTTCTATTTAATTTACATGTTAATACCATTATGATTTATGTTATAACTAACCATGGATAATTATCAGGTGGCAAACATGATTACCCAACTTAAAAATAGTTAGGAAAAATATTGAAAATTTCTGGCTTGTGAGCCTGGACCAGTCCTTCACAGTCTAGTGCAAAACTTAACTTTAATAGTAAAAAAAAAAATTTCATATCTTAGGTTTAATAAACCAAAGTATCTGTCAATTCTTTAACCTTTTCTTCCAAGAGAATAAACATGTGGCTTACCTCTATCACCATGTACTTTTCCATCATAATTTTTTATTAGTTCTTCAATGAACGTGCCATCCTGATCTAAAACTTCATCACCCATATAAGGAATGTTATGTAAAACAGTTTCATCTTCCACCTAAAAGTAAAAAAATATATTTTAAAAGCAGGCTTATCTAAGTATCAAAATATTTTTAAAAAGTCAATGTGAGATAACTAAAATACATTTTTCCCCCCATAACTAGATATCTTTACCTAGTTCTTCAGATTTAAAGTAGTCAAACAACAAACCCTAAAAGGAGCTATCAAGGAATAAAATACCCTCTCACCAGTAATTGTACCTGAGAAAAACTGCTAACAGGAAAAAAGTTTTTTAAGAAATAAATACTGTACTTTTCTTAATCTAACATGCCATCAATCATTAAACTTTACCATTATTTTATGTGCCTCTAAGAAAGGAAAAAACACTGCAGATTACAGTTAGACATCATCAGTTTTAAAATACCTTCCTATTTTTTTATTAGCATATTATTACAAATCATAATTATTCTTTATGCCCCTTACCTGACCAATCACTCCCAAACCCCCCTCCCTCCCTGAGACACCTTCCTATTTCACATGTTAAAATTGTGAGCAGGGTCGGGGGAGAGGCATGTCTTAGAACTGATGAAATATGGTTTATCAAAATCAACTATAAATATCTATACACCAAAAAACTACCACAATAAATCAAATTTCTAAACTTCACTTGATGATCAAGTTATTAAGACATTCAATATAATAAAATTGTAGGGATGTAAAATAGAATTGGTGGTCCATTAAAATTTATGCCAAAAGGATTTAAGCTTATATATAAAATAAGAACATTCTACAATAACAAAATATTTCAATATTTAGATGAATGAGATGTGTATCAAAGTTGATAGTGCTAATAAAAAGATGACAGATGGGTTTATGTCAAGGTTTGGAAGACAATAGGGAAGAGAAAGGGTGCCAGCTTCGCAAGGAAGAATTAATCAAAGTAAAGTTCAGAGAGAATGGAGTACTTAAGAATACAAGGGACTTATGGCTGGCCAGTAAGCTGAGCTGATCAGAGTGTGGTGTTATAACACTAAGGTCAAGGATTCAATTCCTGTAACAGCCAGCCACAAAAAAAAATAGATAGAAAGATAGATAGACAGAATACAAGGGACAGAAAGCTGACATTCATGGGAGGAAGAGAATTTTCAATAAAGAATAAAAATGATAGTTGGGCCGGCCCGGTGGCGCACTGCTATAGTGCGCTGCTTGGGAAGCGCAGTGGCGCTCCCACCGAGGGTTCGGATCCCGCATGCGGACCGGCAGCTCACTGGCTGAGCGAGGGGCGGGAGCAACACCGAGGGTTGCGATCCCGTGGCCGGTCCCGGTACGGGCGCGACACTGAGGGTTGCGATCCGTTGCCGGTCACGAAAAAAGACAAAAAAAAAGGAAAAAAAAAAAAAAAGAATAAAAATGATAGTAATTGTAGATGGAGACTGGACAATTCTGAACTACATGTTTAGAGACTAATTCAAAGTGAGGATGGGTCGATGTCTTATAAGGCCTTTGAATGGGTTATTAGCTAAAAACAGAATTTTAGAAAGATTATTTTGATAAAAAGAATGAAAAGGCTAAGGCTGACTGGGAGAACACGGCAGCTATTTAAAGCGTGAGATGGTATAGGCTAGGACCAGAACTGTAATCATAATCAACAGGGAAGAATGCACTGGGAAAAGCCAAGAAATACCCAGGTGACTCAAGCAGTACCAGGCAGAAAATATAAAGAAAAGGAAAAAAAATTCAAATGATCTCTAGGTAACAAATTTAGGATAACTGGCAGAGTTCATAAAAATAGTAGTACCTTAGACAAACAAGGGGAAATTAGGAGAAAAGAAGAATATGGGGTATTAAATGAAAATTTGATCTTAATGTATTGATCTATTCAGATTTAAGCTTATGTACATACTAGAGTCCTGTTTTCGTCTCATCTCACTTGTGGCTAATCCCATTTAAACTACAAGTTTATTTCTTTGGATATAAACCAAAACTAATGACATTTGGCTATTTTCTCATCCCAACTTTATCAACATAACCCTTGCTCCCCAAAATATATCCTAGCCATTATAAAGTCTGCCTAATCTGCTTTGGTTGGTGACCAGCAAAACCCACGATGATTCCAAGAGACGTAACATTTAAAGTTGTCAATAAATACTTTAAACACTCTCTCTCTCAGAATTTCAGTCTGTGAAAATATGAAACCTCCCATAAGGTCTTGCAATATGATTCTCATGGTTCTCAAAGTAAATGTTTTTTAATAAAGCCTTTAATACACAAATTTATGCAATTGCAGAAGAGTAGCTGAAGTTTACCTTTGACCCTGCATTGTAAAAAGTATAACAGAAAAGTCACTAAAAACATTAGAATCATCTTTTTTAATATAGTAAGCAATTCTCTAAAGCAGGTTAATCAACATAACATTTTATTAGCCTCTCCACTTTATATATCAAGTAATAAAACTATCCAAGTCAAGAATACATACTTGAATTTCTCTTCTGTTCCACCCTCCTTCACTCTACTTCTATAAAGAATTAAATACCAGCACTTTATTATAAAAGCTATTGGGCCAGTGTTATCTGTGGAAATATGTTTAAGCCTATGCTTTTTTTTTTTTTTCCTTTTTTTTGTGACGGGCAACAGATTGCAACCCTCAGTGTCGCGCCCATACCGGACCAGGACCGGCAACGGGATCGCAACCCTCGGTGTTGCGCCCGCACCTCGCTCAGCCAGTGAGTGGCCGGTCTGTATGTGGGATCCGAACCCTCAGTGGGAGCACCGCCGCACTCCCAAGCGGCGCACTGTAGCAGTGCGCCACCAGGCCGGCCCGTAAGCCTGTGCTTTATAAGACCTGAGAATATTTCATAGTGCACATTATCACTTAATTACATGCTGCCTAAAATTGTTTTAAGAACGAGTTCTCAATTAATGAAAACTGAAAGTCAGACTGAGATTATATATGACTTCTTCAAGGATAAGAACTATAAGCTTCATTTCTTAAATGTTTTTAATCCTAGGTATGATTTTTGATTAACACTTTTCCTTTGGAGAAAACAGGAAAAGAACAGCACTGCAAAGGCTTTAAACAAAACTACAATAATCAATTTTTTAAAATCACGCCAAGTACTAACATTCTGATAGCTTTTTAAACTTATATCTTGATTCACCTTGACAAGAAAATTATCTATGCTTTTTGAGGAAGATACATTATGTACGTACCATAAAGTTCTGCTGTAGGGGAGACCAAGAATACATTATGGGTACTGAAGCAACTGCATTCAGAGTCTTCAGTGGGATGACTTGTGTTGGAAAATCCAAGTCACTGGTCACTGAACACTAAAACAGAAAAGATAAAATTGACTCAAGTGTAGGACAACCTTAAGCCACAGTCATCATATTGTCAAGAAGTGCTGCCTACTTAAATAATTTTGAAAAGAAAGTTTCTTTACCTAGGCGAGTAAAGTTCATGAAAACCAAAGAAGAATCTTTTCTCTTTTTTACCTAGGGTGGAAAAAATTCTGTAGATTTTGCAAATTTTCAAAACTCTCCAACCTTCCCCATACTTACCAATATCAATAATAATCAAAAATTATATTTATGTTGGCCTCAGCAATTTATGTTAGCCTTTGCTCCATGCTTTCACTATAATTTACCCAGCTCATGCTTAATTTCTCTTATATCCCAACCACACAGAATACCAAATATGTCACTTAAATCTTACTTAATAAGATAACTTGTTAGGTTAGCCTTTATCTTTATCTTCCCTTTTAAAAAACCAAGTGTCATTTGCTGATATTATCAGATAATATACAAATGTTAAGGGTAATGGATTTGAGTTTTAATCACAACAAAATGGATTCAAATCAATTCTGCAAAAGTAATCTTTAAATTAATAATAATAATAGCTAATAGTAAGTACCCTGTATGTGCTAGGCACTATTTTAAATACATTACATATCTTACCATATTTAGTCCTCATTACAACATTGTAAGATGGGTATTATTCTTAGCCCCCATGATACAGGTGAGAAAACTACAGTAAAGAAAGGTAACTTGCCCAAGGTCATACAATAGATAGGGCTAGAATTTAAACCCCAAAAGTCTGACCCATGAGTTCCTCCTCTTACCCACTACACTTTATTGCCAGAATAACATATTTCTAAAATGTTTAAATGCATAGAGACCCTTGAAGTACCGTATTTCATACAATCTATAATGATATCAATTTCAAGGCACACCATTATCTTCTGTATCACTAAGGAAAAAATGTTGCCACTTAAACTATGATATAATGCTTTCTTATCACAATGACTCTAAGATGCCTGTTGGTTTCAGATGTTAAAATGTTAAGAACTTTGCATCTTTGATTCTATGAAATATGGTAAAAACCTATGCCCAAATAACCACAGCACTTTCCATCCTGTCTAGGAATCCAGCTTTTCTTAAAGAATACTATTACCCAATTATCAGGCCTCGAGAGCCTTCTCAAAAACACCCTGGACATATATTCATAATCTACCATCAATGAAAACAGAGCAAAAAGAATTGTAGTAGTAAAATAAACCAAAAAATCATATATATACATATACGTATTAAATGTTTGATTTTTATTTAAGATGTGTTAAAAAAAACAGCAGGATTAGGCCTAGTGAAATCAGAGTAGAAATCTTTGGCACACAGGCCACACCTGGCCCTTAGCATCACATCAGGCCAGTGGGATAATCTCACAATCATCACAGTCACTGCAGCACAAAAATAATTCCTTCCTTAGTGGAAGTGAAGGTCTAAGGATAGAGTAGTTAGGAAGAACTGTGACAATGATTAATCCATTAATTTGCTTTCCGAAAAGGCAAAGATAAAGATAATACTAGAAAGCTCATAACTCAAGTAAATAAGAAAGTGTGAACAGTTTACTTTAAATACTTCAGAATCCACAATCTTTCCCTTTTCCGCTATTTGGCTTCAGATTCAATCCTTCATCCATCCATCCATAAGGCAGTAATAATAGCAAGTTAACATTTATTGAGCACGTACTATGTTGCAGGCACTGTGCTAAGTGCTTATATACATTGTCTTAATTATTCCTCATTGCAACCTTATGATGTAGGTAGTTTTAGCATCACAGCTTCACCAATGAGACTGAGGTACAGAGAAGTTAAATAATTTGCCTAGTCAGTAAAGTAGTAAATTATGAAACCAGGATTAAAACCTAAGTCTAACTGCAACACCCAAGAGCTTAATTACTGTGCCGTAGTTCTTACCCTTGAGATGCTCACAGGGTAAAATAATTACAGCCATGCAATATCTGCTATATAAAATAGAGACATATGACAATGTTATAGGGGCATCTCTTCCTCCAACTTCCTGTTATTCCTATTACCACCAAGTCTTCTTTACTTCTTTCTACTTAATGGGGTAAATTTAGGGGAAAGGGTTGGTTATAATTACTAAATATTATATAGTCCAGTGATTTTAAATACAAAATGATTTTCATTTCTTAAAAAAAAAGTTTTTGGTTTTTGTTTTACCTATAGTGGGGATAAATGAACTCTGGCTTTAATTCTGAAGATGAGTCACCTTTTAAGTTTAAAGGGGAGCAGGTTGCCTCTCCAACTCAAGTAATTGACCTGTTTTAACATCTAAGTCCAAAGTCACACATAATGTTAAACAGTTGAATATTCTTTTCAACTACTAGACAGGTGTAAGCTTTGCTTCATCTATCGCTTTGGCCATGTAGAAAATGCCCTGAGTATACTGAATGACGACAGCTGATCTTTCCAGTGATCAAAAAGAACTTGTAGAAACAGAGACAATAAGAAGGCACAGGCTGTAGCACTAAGTACTACTTCCAATCCTGTACTTTTGTCATACTCCCAATACCTCATCATCTCAATTCTGAGTTCCAAGAGTCTCCAAGGGACAGGAAGTAAGCTCTCTGAGGGCAAAAGCAACTGAGGCTAAGTGTGCTTTTACCATCCATCTTGAAACATATTTGAAACATTCAGCACAGTGTCTAAAAATAAGTAGGCACTCAAAAAATGTTTCTGGAATGAACAGACTGCATTTGCTGATTTTCCTTAATGGAGACTTCAACTTCCATTTCTGTTTAAAGCCAAGAGAGCACCTATTCAGAAAACTGACAGTCTAACCCCCACCTCATTATCTTTTAGTATCGCTAGGACCCCGTCCCATTCTTTAACTATTAACCTTAACTAATAACCATATTTCTTTCATTTATGAAGTAATATTAAAATGCAAAAGAATTTGCTGGTAAAACAAGTCTGGGAATTCTTATTTATTAACTTATAGGAAAATTACTCAAAAATCCCAGTTACTTACCAGCAACTATTTTTTTCTTTGAAAATGTATCATCCTTGACAGTTTACATAATTAAGTCTCATATCACTCAGAGCAGTGAAAAGAATTTTGACCTCATGGGTCTCCACAGCATTTTACCTGATCAGAGTCATGTGTCCTGGACTCAGAAACTCACTAGGAGACCTGTATCAACAAATTAAATTCTCTAATTCTAGTTCCATCTTGAGGATCACACAAGGAAATTATTACAGATGATTCATCATCAATGATAAAGAAAGAAAAAAACTGGATTAGTTATCAAGGATGCTACATTTTCAGAGAAACACAGCTTACTGTTAAGTAACCAGGTTCCTCTGAGGATGGATAGACTTACATCAACCAGCTGGTACATTAGGCGACTGTGTGGCTGGACCACTGGGAGCTGGAGAGGGAAGTCAAGCCAAAAATAGTAGTTGTAGGAGTACACAACCAAACTGAGACTCTTGGCAGAAGGCTGGTTCCAAGTAAAAACTGTGTTATGGAAAATCGTAGAGGGAAGAGCAGGTGAATGGCCTGCAGGGAACGGAAAGAAATTAACACACCCTACTATGTGCCAAGCACTGTGCTAGAGACTTAACCAAAGTTAACTTCTTTAAAATTCAAAACTACCCTGTGAAGTAGGTATGACTCCCCATTTTACAGCAGGACATCCCAAAGACCAATAGCTATAGCCATCCTGCCTCTGAATAATCTTCAACACAAGAAGACTTCTGTACAGTAGGGAGAATATACAGTAAGTTAGCCAAGTAAAAATGTTCTTGGACACTGGTTGGTTCATTTAATTCACTCCAGAGACACAGTAAACTGTTGACGTTGTCTAACATCATTTTGCCTTTCCACATGAGAACAATGAGGAAGGTGCAGGAAGGTCATCACCCCAGCAGAGAAAAGGTCAGGAGAAAGCAGCTGCCACCAGCTCTACAGAAAAGCTTAGGATGATTTCTGAAACTACCCTATATTCTTCAGGGTTTGAGGTAAGAAAAGATAATACACCTAAGTTTTAAATTAGCCAGACCTTCTGGTGAAAAAGACAGCATATATAATTTAAAATCAAGACTACTTTTATGTGAAGGAAGTACTGGAAAAAAAACTGAAATGAGGTAAATATCAAATTTGGATAAAGTTAAAAGGTGCTCAATCATAGGAGTTCATAACCAGGTTTAGAAGGCAAAAGAGAGGGGTGATTGAGGAGAGTCTTGAAAACAATGAGTGGCTCAAACAGGAGAAGGGCAGAAATAAAAATGGGGATTAAAAATCCTGTTAAGATCTTGAGATAGATGCATTTAATGAAAGCAACTAATCAAGGATGCTGGAGGTAAGAAATGAAAAAAAGTGGTTCATAACAGACTGTAAATTATTTCCATTTTGTTGTTTAATATTTGTTACAGAGCCATTACAGGGGAAGAACCTCTACCCTGCAAAATAAGGCTATTTGCTTCTGAGTTCACTTTTATCTGTGTCAGTTATGCTTTGGGGGATGGGTTGAAGTAGGGAGGAACATAAATAGCATTTAACACAGAACATATAATATTTGGAATACAATTTCAGGAAATTTAGATCCTTAAGGCTCTCTCCTACATCCTAGCTTCAGAAGCCTGGCCCTGAATAAAAGGTATCATAAACATACAAACCTAGTTAATCCTAGGTTAAAACCCAATGCCGACTGGGTCTGAAGAGAGCTGTTAGGGTAAATCATCCCCTCATTATCTGCAGATTTGCAAAAAACTCCAGTTTTGCTAAAATACTGGAGATCAGAAACAGAACAATAGTCACAGGACATAAGCTGGTAAAACTAAAAATATTTTTAAAAAAGCACATGAAGCAGGTAAACCAGATCCATGCTGCACTGACTATATACAACTCAAGTATCTAATTCAAGAATAGCCCTATGAGTAGAAAATAAAATAACTTCTGTCATTGGAAAAACAAAACAAAAACTAAGAAATAGAACAAAGAATATTATATAAGTCATGGTTTCCATAAGCTGTGGCTGCAAAATCATTCTAAAGCCTAAGCTTAAATGAGTGGATTTGGGGATTATTATTATAGAGTAGTAGAGGTACCAGTTAAAAATGAATAGGCAAGACTGTCACAGGCTGTGGTCTCTGAGGGAAGATGCTCAAAGTCCTTGCTCAGGTGGCAGACTTGCTCAAGAGATCTCCAATCAGGTAGGTGGATTCTGTTCATCTCCAAAAATAGATTTATAACTGCCCCTCAACTGTTCACCAATTATTCAGTAAATAGAACAAAATTAAAATCCAAATCCCCCACTCACTCTTTATACCAAAGGAAATTCCTGATGGATTAAATTACGTTAGAATATTAAAAAGAAAACAAAGAAATAAGGAAAGATGTGTAGATGATTTATAATCTTGAAGTGAGAAAAGACTTTCTAAGACTTTAAGAAACACAAAAATAAAAAGAACCATATAACCAAAATATAGCAGAAATAACATCAAAATAGGAAAAAATATCTACAAAACAGATGATAAAAAACAATATTTATAATACACAAAAAAGTCCTTATAAATCATAAGGCCCAACCTAATTTTAAAAGAGCCAAATCATAATAGCCAATCACAAAAGAAATACAAACAGACAATAACTGATACTCAAACTCACTGAATTATTAAAGACAAACTGCAATAAATTGTAACAATTTTTTACCTATCAGACTGTTAAAGATTAAAAAGATTAATAATACTTTGTGTTGGGCATATAGGTAAATACACACTTCCATAGACAGCTGGTGGGAGTGTAATGTAAAATTTTTGAGGGGGTGTTTGATAATATCTGTTAAAATTTGAAATAGGCATATGGTTTTGGTCTAGTAATCCTACTTCTAGGAACCTTTCTTACAAAATTACTCAAAAGATGCAAAGATGGATATGAAGGATATTTACTACAGCATTAATTACAAAAGTAAAAAATAAAAAACCTAAATGTACATCAATTAAGAATAAGGCAATAAATTATGGTATTTCCATAGTATCACACACACTATGAATTTTTAAAGAGAATGAAGAAGATCTGGACAGAGATTGTAAATGATGGCCCTAAATGACAGGCATTTACTATCTGGCCAGTAATTTTCCAAAATAAAATACATATCACTGACATGGTAGTCTACATAGAAAAAGAAAAATCTGAAAGAATAAAGGCTGGGGTTTGGATTACAGGGACTTTTGCCTTCTGTTTTATATATTACTTTTACACAAAGTTTCATTAACCCAATAGATATTCACATTAACTACTATAAAACTGCTTCATCAGTTGTCAGGGTAGCTAGCTTGTGAAATTTGCCAAAAATGTTACTCAAGTATATTCTATGGTGGGATTGGGGGGGGGAGGGG